TTTCTTAATACATTTCATTTGTTTTAGTGCTTGTGTTACGGCCCCCTGCCAAACTAGCGGTTAAATAGTTAACCTGCCGGCCGGCAGTACCACTGGGTACGTCATCAAACCCATTGTGGGGACTGCTGAGCCGGCCTTAGAAGCATTATGTACCTGAACACCTCACGGTACGCAGCTAGGCAGTATGTGCCTGAACACCTCACGGTACGCAGCTAAGCATTAAGTACCTGAACACCTCACGGTACGCATGTAAGCAGTAGGTACCTGAACACCTAATCGTACACATCTACTGGCTTTAGAAGCATTAAGTACCTGAACACCTCACAGTACGCATGTAAGCAGTAGGTACCTGAACACCTAATCGTACACATCTACTGGCTATAGAAGCATTAAGTACCTGAACACCTCACGGTACGCATCTAAGCAGTAGGTACCTGAACACCTAATGGTACACATCTACTGGCAGTAGAGTATTCTACTGGCTTCTACTGATTTTAGAAGAAGCGCTCACCGCAGCTCACTGAGTCTGTTGGCCTCAGTTATCTGACGGCTGCATTCAGTGAGCTTGCAACATGGTGTGTGCTGCACCAGACCACCTTGCGGTGTGTCAACCGGCTTTGGAGAGTATTTACAGGACTGCCGGTGATGTCTGCGGACTCACCGCCTACGCTTGTCAACTGTGGGCCGGAGTCATCTGATGCTGTTTAGTGGGACATTACATGAAGAAAAGGTTGGAGTGTTACACTGAACTGGGCCAGGACCGTAGTGTGACACTTAGGGAAGTATGATTGAGTGGAACACTGAGATATGCTACAGGACCGTAGTGGAACACTGAGAAGGAAAGGGTGTCGTGTGACACTGAAGATGGCCTGGTTGTAGTGTACATTGAATAGTGTCGTGTGACTGGCCTCGACAAAGACACTATGCGGGTAGTGTGACGCAGAGACAAGGGTGTCAAGTGTGACACGGTTGCGAAAGTGTGTATTACACGGAGAAAAGGGTGTCAAGTGACACGGTGGAGAAAGAGCGTCACAACTTGGATAAGTGTCGTGAGAAACGCAGTTGATTATAATTTATTATTATACAAATGTTATTTATAATTTATTATTTTAGCATAGATATATATATTATTATTTTAAGATGCTAATAATTTATTATTGTAACATGTAGATATATTTTAAATACCTCCTAGACCAAAGATTGTTTTTATATAATATTAAAGATTAATTGATTTTAATGTGTGTATTTATGTATCCCGAACTCTTTATTACAAAAGGAGTAAAACTTACCATATTTAAAAATAACTTTTTTTGTAATAGTATATGAGTGGCCTGTCCGGGAGGATAATGATTATCAAGAATGATTTCTGGGATGATCATATCCGGGATGATGGTTCAGGATGCATATTACATTGATCTTTGTGTGTCGGTCCTTTTGTGGTGGGGGTGTTACGGCCCCCTGCCAAACTAGCGGTTAAATAGTTAACCTGCCGGCCGGCAGTACCACTGGGTACGTCATCAAACCCATTGTGGGGACTGCTGAGCCGGCCTTAGAGCATTATGTACCTGAGCACCTCACGGTACGCATGTAAGCAGTATGTACCTGAACACCTCACGGTACGCATCTAAGCAGTAGGTACCTGAACACCTAATGGTACACATCTACTGGCCTTAGAAGCATAGGTACCTGAACCTAATGTAACATCTACTGCAGTAAAGTATTCTCTGCTTCTACTGATTTTAGAAGAAGCGCTCACCGCAGCTCACCGAGTCTGTTGGCCTCAGTTATCTGACGGCCGCATTCAGTGAGCTTGCAACATAGTGTGCATTGCACCGGACCACCTTGCGGTGTGTCAACCGGCTTTGGAGAGTATTTACAGGACTGCCGGTGATGTCTGCGGACTCACCGCCTACGCTGTCAACTGTGGGCCGGAGTCATCTGATGCTGTTTAGTGGGACATTACATGAAGAAAAGGTTGGAGTGTTACAATGAACTGGGCCAGGACCGTAGTGTGACACTTAGGGAAGTATGGAGTGGAACACTGAGATATGCTACAGGACCGTAGTGGAACACTGAGAAGGAAAGGGTGTCGTGTGACACTGAAAATGGCCTGGTTGTAGTGTACATTGAATAGTGTCATGTGACTGGCCTCGACAAAGACGCTATGCGGGTAGTGTGACGCAGAGACAAGGGTGTCAAGTGTGACACGGTTGCGAAAGTGTGTGTATTACACGGAGAGAAAAGGGTGTCAAAGTGACACGGTGGAGAAAGAGCGTCACAACTCGGATAAGTGTCGTGAGAAACGCAGTTGATTATAATTTATTATTATACAAATGTTATTTATAATTTATTATTTTAGCATAGATATATATATTATTATTTTAAGATGCTAATAATTTATTATGTAACATGTAGATATATTTTAAATACCTCCTAGACCAAAGATTGTTTTTATATAATATTAAAGATTAATTGATTTTAATGTGTATATATGTATCCCGAACTCTTTATTACAAAATGAGTAAAACTTACCATCTTTAAAAAATAACTTTTTTTGTAATAGCTTGCAATTGCTAAATAAGCCACCATGGGCCCAAAGAAAGCTTCTAGTGCCAGCCCTCTGGTAAAGAAAGCGAGAAACACAATTGACGTACAGAAAGAGAACACAGAAAAATATAAAAGTGGAGTGCGTGTGGCAGAGCTCTCCAGGGTGTACAGGAAGGCCCATTCAACCATCACTTCCATCGTGGCAAAGAAAGAGAAAATCAAGAAGCTGATGTTGCGAAAGGGGTGAATATGCTAACGAAAGAGATCGCAAATAATTGAAGGCGTTGAGAAGCTGTTGCTCTTGTGGATCAAACAAAAAGAGTTAGCAGGAGATAGTGTTATGCAGTTGATAATTTGCAAAAAGGCAAGGCAGTTGCATGACAATCTCGTAAAGAAAAGGCCTGGAACGAATGCTGATGTAGGTGAATTCAAGGCCAGCAAAGGCTGGTTCAAAAATTTCAAGAAGCAAAGTGGCATACACAATGTTGTAAGGCATGGTGAGGCTGCCAGTTCAGACAAACATGCAGCTGAAAAATTCATAAGTGAATTCAAGGACTATGTAGAAGCTGAAGGATTCGTCCTCCAACAAGTGTTCATTTGTGACGAAACAGACCTCTTTTGGAAGAAAATGCCAAAGAGGACCTACATCATGCAGGAGGAAAAGGCACTGCCAGGACACAAGCCTACGAAGGATAGGCTAACTCTCATGTTGTGTGGTAATGCTAGTGTGGATTTCAAAGTGAAGCCTTTACTGCTGCATCACTCTGAAAATCCCAGTGTGTTCAAGAAAAACAATGTCACGAAGGCTAATTTGTGTGTGATGTGGAAGCCTAACAGTAAGGCATGGGTCACAAGGGACATTTTCCTTGATTGGTTCAATGCAGTGTTTGGCCCCAGTGTGAAGAAATACCTCCTGGAAAATAAACTGGAACTCCAAGTGCCTCCTGGTAATGGACAATACTTTTGCTCATCCTCCAGACTTGGAAGAGCAAATGGTGAAGGAGTTTAATTTCATCACAGTGAAGTTCTTGCCCCCTAATACCACTCCTCTCCTCCAGCCTATGGACCAGCAGATCATTTCAAACTTCAAAAAGTTGTACATCAAAGCAATGTTTCAAAGTTGCTTTAACATAACCTCAGACTCTGAACTAACCCTAAGAGAGTTCTGGAAAGATCGCTTCAATATCCTCCATTGCATAAACCTTACATGTAAGGCTTGGCAGGGAGTGACTTCCAGGACTATGAACTCTTTTGAAAATCGTGAATTTTGAATTTCAGCGGACTCTGTGGAACGGATTAATCACGAAATTCAAGGGTCCACTGTATATATACTGACACACACACAAACACTTTACACACAAATAAGAATAAAGAGGTGGGGTTGTAAATTTTGGTCTGTAATAGCAGTTCTCTTCACCAGACGAAGGCTTCACAAGCCAAATAATAAACCTCCTCCTTCAAGAAAGAACTCGAAATTTATTCAAATTGGATAAATTTAGATTTACAAAGGATAAAGGAAAATGTTGGTTTGGAAATAGAGATGTTGATGAGTGGAAAAGTCTGCTTAGTAGGGTCACTGAAGCTAAAACCTTGGGTAACTTCAAATTTAGGTTAAATACATGAGATGGGGACTGGATTTGAGAGGGACTTGCACACGAGTTAATAGGGTTATTGCTTGGATAGCACTGAAAATGGGTTGGGCAAATATATTTGTTAGTTGGTTTGGGTTTGAGAAGGATCTGACTAGTATGGGCCAGGAGGCCTGCTCAGTGTTCCTCCTTTCATGTGTTCACTAATTATCTGTGTTTCAGGAGAATGCCTTCATTTACACTAACTACCATTCATCACACTGCGAATACTGCATGCAGAAGCACTGCTTTAATTTTTCAACACACTGGTCATCTCCCACTGAGGTAGGTGACCCAAAAGAGGAAACACATTCACCATCATTCATCCAATACAGGTGAGCCCCGCTTTACAGCGCTTCACTTTACGGTGTTTTGCTAATGCAGAGGTTATCAATTATACTCATTCTTCATTTATTCAGACTTCCCACAATACATATATTCACCACTCACTATATCTTAGGATGAAAATATTTTAAGGTAAGTAATGTGTGTACTGCATATGCATATTTTAGGACTAGCTCTATTATTCATTTAATATATGATAGTGTAAACATGTTATCAGGCTTTTATATGCCTTTGAAGAAAAGACTACGTTACTTTACAGAAATTTTCACTTTACAGCAGTAGCCTGAAAACTTAACCTGCTATACAAGCGGGGCCCTGGTGTAGCTCTCTTGCCAAAAGAGCACGAACATCACAATTCATTCCTAGGGTACAATGCATGCAAGTGGAACAAGCTTTCAATCTTCACAAACTAATCTGGAGCAAAAACAAAATAAACAAAAAAAAAAAAAATTCAAGCAGAGCCTGAGACTACTAACTTACCAGAGCCACCGGCAAAAGACACGTAACCTAGGTGTTCGTAGGTAAAAGTGAAGGAGCGGAGGAACCACGGGCCGGCAGGATGGTGGGTGGATCAGGATGGTGGATGGAGTTGAATGTAAGGGCAAGTGGATCAGAGGTTAGTGTTAAGAAAGTAAGAGTAAAGATAAGTGGATCAGAAGTTAGTGTTAAGAAAATAAGAGTAAAGATAAGTGGATCAGAGGTTAGTGTTAAGAAAGTAAGAGTAAAGATAAGTGGATCAGAAGTTAGTGTTAAGAAAGTAAGAGTGAAGATAAGTGGATCAGAGGTTAGTGTTAAGAAAGTAAGAGTGAAGATAAGTGGATCAGAGGTTAGTGTTAAGAAAGTAAGAGTAAAGATAAGTGGATCAGAAGTTAGTGTTAAGAAAGTAAGAGTGAAGATAAGTGGATCAGAAGTTAGTGTTAAGAAAGTAAGAGTGAAGATAAGTGGATCAGAGGTTAGTGTTAAGAAAGTAAGAATGAAGATAAGTGGATTGGATAGTGAAGACAGTTATCAGAAGTTTGTGTTAAGTGGTTAGTATTAAGAAAGAAAGAGTGAAGATAAGGATGAGGGAGCAGAGTAAAGACAGGTCAACAATGTGTTGGGTGGATCAGAGGAGAGCAGTAACAAGCAATAAAGTTTATGACAGGTTGTTGTTAATACACAATAAAGAGATACAATAAGGTTACAGAGACAGGTTACAGTAAACAGTTATAAGTCACAGGATAGGTGTAACATTTGTGTCATAACAATTACATTGAAACAGCCAAAGCAGAATTGAAGAAGTCATATTAAGAAGAGATGAAGCAGAATGGTGAAAAATTTAACAATGGAAGACATTAACAAAATAGTGAATAAGTGAGAGGAAACATTAGTAACATTGTGTAGAAGAGTCAACATTTTAAAACATTATGTAGAAGAGTGAAATATGAACGAAATCCAAAAATATCAAAAAAATGTATAAAGGTAGCAGATAATATAATATATAATATATATATATAAAGAATAGGCCCAGAAACAATCAAGAGAGGTACAGTATATGAGTGTGAGTGATGTTGGGAAGAGAGGAGCCAAGGGTAGGATACAGGAAGAGGTGAATAAATGTAAGAAATGAACCACAAAGAATATGAATAGGAGGCAAGAAATAATGCACAAGAATGTAAACAAGGTGAGTGATAATAAGAAAACCCAGAAGAGTGACTCAAGGTGTTGAGGAAACAGGAGGAGGAAGAGGAACCAGAGTACATGTGGATGAGGAGGAGGAGCCACAGTACAAGTGAATGAGGAAGGAGCCAGAGTACATATAAATGAGGGAAGGAGAAGGGAGTGATGACCAGGAAGTTGAGTAATATTAGAGGAGGGGGGGGGATAGGATGGAGTGTGGATGGGATGGATGGGGAATGGCATGAGGAGGTTAGAGGAGCGGTTGCGTTTCCATGAAGGATGTTCCGGAAAAGAAAGAAAGCAAAAATAAACATTAATAAATATGATCATGATGCACACACACACACACACAAAAGCAAAAATCACTACACTGAAAATGGCAGCAAACACCTGTCTACATTTGCCTCGATACAGTACTGTATAATACACTCTATAATACAATTACACTAGTATTTACTCATGGCACAAAAATATCAATTTTGAGCATTCCTGAATATTTCATAAATCATATGCTAGAAAAAGGCACCTCTGCATGTTTTAAAGTCTACCTATTCTGTCCCTTACTCAGATGCATGCAGCAACTTTATTTGCAAATAGTTAATTAAAAAAAAGATTGCATACAACAAGGATGGCAGTTGTGTCACAAAAACCGGTCATTTAAAACTTCCATCACCACATGCTTCAAAACAAGATGATAAACATGCACATGGCAAAAGGCATGAAAGCATTTAAGTGCATGTGATGCATAACACACACAGCCATGAAGGTCACATGGGCAAGAACACAACTGAGATCAAAAATATATAAGTAAAAAGGGGAAAAGTATATAAAGAAAAAGTATGGGGGAGGGTAGTCAAACAAATATGACAGAGTACAGCGGAACATCGATTAATACTGTAGTCACATTTCTCATGTTAGTCGAGCCTAAAAATGCACAGAAAAAAATAGTTACATTCTTTGGACCTTCAGAAAAGTCAACAGGTCTTTCCTCAAGGTCTGTAATTAATCAAAAACAATAAATTTTTACATTGCTTGCATTCCAGTCACTGTTGCTTGCTGACCTGGAAGTGTGTATGCTGAATAAACTGACAATGGAAGATAGGATTTGACCTTAATTTTTAAAAATTTGTTTTCTTTTTAAGATAAATATAAAACTGTCAACATAGACAGTGCAATACAGTACTGTAATGTTGGGTATATTCGACCTTTGAAGTTTTTTTTTTTTTTTTTTTTTTTTTTTTTTTTTTTTACTCCCAGAGCCTGGTCTTGGGTCAGACTCTCTGGTGAAAAGACTGAAAGTGTCCTGAAACATGTACAGCAAGTCCTCAATGTCGTTAACAGGTTCTTGGAAACTGCGGCTCTAACCAAAACAATTATCATGAGATTATCACATACATTATGATTTTTTATTTTACAATAATTTGTATTCACTTGATTTTTTTTTCAAATCAATGTTATAATAAAATGGCTATATTGGAGAAGCTGCTATACTACATTAACTCTTACAATGCTTTAATTATTATTTTCTAACAGCAACACAAATTAAAACTTTATACAGGTATTTATAAGTTAAGGTTCATTAAAAGACAGGATGGAATGAGAAAGACAAATGAAGTATAATGTGGTCCTTTACTGACCATGTTTCACCCAACATGATGGTCTCTATGAGGTCACAAACAGATCTGTTTGTGACTATCAAGTTTGCTGCTTGGCTAAACACTGTCAGTAAAGGATCACATTAAACGACATGAAAAAATTACAATAAACGTGTGACTGTGAATATTTAAAAATAATAGTGAAAATAGGAAAAACACCCAAGCACTTTCATGTGCTTACACACACATCTTCAGGTATGTGTGGAAACACATGAAAGTGCTGAGGTGTTTTTCCCATTTTCCCTGTGATATTTTCATATTAAACTGGGTGGATTAGTTGCTCAAACTGCAGTCCATAAATTGGCAGTCCAATGCTCTATTGTCTAGGCTAACCCAGGCCTCTAATAGGAAAGATTCAGAGGTAATACTTATTGTGTTACATTCTATCAGAGGTACCAAATGTAACCCAACTGAACTCATAGACTGTGACCTTGAGGGGATGGGAGGAGTTTAAGTATAGATCTACCATTAAAGCTCCTGGGCCAAGAGTAGGAGTTTAGTTGGGTTACAGTTGGTGCCTCTGACAGAATGTAATACAATATTGCCTCTGAATCCTAGAGGTCTGGGTTAGCCGAGATGGTAGAGCATCAGACTGTCAATTTACAGATCGCAGTTCAAGCCCACGTTCATCCTTCTGTTTATTCATCGACAGCAGTTCATTAACATGTTTTTAGTGCTTGTAACTGCTAAATAAACCACAATGGGCCCAATGAAAGCTTCTAGTGCCAGCCCTGTGGTAAAGAGGGTGAGAAACACTATTGAATTGAAGAAAAAGATCGCAAAATACGAAAGAGGAGTGCATGTCTCTGCACTGGCCAGGTTGTATAACAAACCCCATTCAACCATCGCTACTATCTTGGCCAACAAAAAGGCAATCAAGGAAGCTGTTGTTGCAAAAGATGCAAGTATGCTTACAAAACAGAGATTGCAAATACTCGAAGATGTGGAGAGACTGTTGTTGGTGTGAATAAACAAGAAACAATTACATATCAGGAGATAGTGTTTCTCAGGCAATAATGTGTGAAAAGGCAAGGCAGTTGCATGATGATCTAATTAAGAAAATGCCTGGAACTAGTGCTCATGTTAGTGAATTAAGGCCAGCAAAGGTTGGTTTGAGAGATTTAACCCTTTGAGGGTTTCGGACGCACTAGTACGGCTTACGACCCAAGGTTTTTGACGTACTAGTACGCCTAAATTCTAGCGCCCTCAAATCTAGTGGGAGAAAGCTGGTAGGCCTTCATATGAAAGAATGGGTCTATGTGGTCAGTGTGCACAGTCTAAAAAAAATCCTGCAGCACACAGTGCATAATGAGAAAAAAAAAACTTTGACCGTTTTTTGGAATAAAACCGCGACTTTGCACTGTATTTTCGTATGGTATTTATTGTTGTATTCTAGTTTTCTTGGTCTCATTTTATAGAATGGAAGACATATTACAGAAATTGAGATGATTTTGACTGGTTTTACAATGAAAGATACCTTGAAATTGAGCTCAAAGTAGCAGAAATGTTCGATTTTTACCAAACTTCAAAAGTAAACAAATCGTGCCAAGCGTGCAATACACGTCAACTGGTGAGTCTAATATTCTTTCACAAGTGCACCAATAATATTTATACCATTTTTTACACTAATGCAGTAGTCTGCATAACATAAATCTTATATTTTTTGTGAGAATAAAAATTCAAAATGGAAAGCAAAAGAATATAAAGAGGGGCCTTGAGACGTGACTAATGACTAGAGGAAATGTCATTTTAGTGCCAGGAATGTCTTTCTTGTTTATTCTGGACCCTATTTGGAAATTGGCATCTTTTGAAATTTGTGTAAAATTTGGGCAAATTGCTAAATTCTGACCACTGTACTGGATAGTTGAATTTCATAAATGGGTGATTTCTTGCACCCATTCGATAGAAAAAATGGAGTTCTAGCGAAATATTCATGTTTTTTGTCGACTAGTACAGTGAAATTGGCCGAAAATGGGGCTCAAAGTGGGCAAAATCGCCGATGCATAAACATCGCTGAGACCGCTAACTTTGCGAGAGCATAATTCCGTAAGTTTTCTATCAAATTTCAAACTTTTGGTGTCTTTATGATCGGGAAAAGATTCTCTATCTTTTCATAAGAGAAAATAATTTTTTTTTTTTTAAATTTGGCCGACCCTGAGAACGAGTTTCGGAGAGGGCCTGTCGACCCTCAAAGGGTTAACAAGTCGGCCGTCTCCTACTGAGGCAGGGTGACCCATAAAGAAAAAAAATCCCCAAGAAGAAAATACTTTCATCATCATTCAATACTTTCACCTCACTCTCACACAATCACTGTTTTTGCAGAGATGCTCAGAATACAACAGTTTAGAAGCATATATGTATAAAGATACACAACATATCCCTCCAAACTGCCAATATCCCAAACCTCTCCTTTAAAGTGCAGGCAGGAGGGGTTTGGGATATTGGGAGTTTGGAGGGATATGTTGTGTTTCTTTATATGTATATGCTTCTAAACTGTTGTATTCTGAGCACCTCTGCAAAAACGGTGATTATGTGTGAGTGAGGTGAAAGTGTTAAATGATGAAAGTATTTTCTTTTAGGGAATTTTCTTTCTTTTTGGGTCACCCTGCCTCGGTGGGAGACGGTCGACTTGTTAAAAAAAAAAAAAAATGTGCAGGAATTTAAGGGGTTCATAGAAGCTGAACAATTAAAACCCCAAGTGTTTAATTGTGACAAAACAGGCCTGTTTTGGAAGAAAATGCCAAACAGGACCTACATTACTCAGGAGGAAAAGGCACTCCCAAGACACAAGCCAATGAAAGACAGGGTAACTCATGTTTTGTAGGAATGCTAGTGGTGATTGTAAAGTGAAGCCTTTACTTGTGCATCACTCTGAAACCCCCCATGTTTTCAAGAAAACCAGTGTCGTCAAACCTAAATTGTGTGTGGTGTGGAGGGCAAACAGTAAGGCATGGGTCACTAGGGGCATTTTCCTAGATTGGTTCCATGACGTGTTTGGCCCTAGTGTGAAAAAGTACCCCCTGGAAAACAAATTGGAACTCAAGTGCCTCCTGGTAATGGACAATGCTCCTGCTCATCCTCCAGACTCGGAAGAGCGAATTGTGAGGGAGTTTAGCTTCATCAAAGTGAAGTTTTTGGCCTCCTAATACCACTCATCTCCTCCAATCCATGGACCAGCAGGTCATTTCAAATTTCAAAAAACTGTACACCAAAGCAGTTTCAAAAGTGCTTTGAAGTGACCTCAGACACTGAACTGACCCTAAGAGAGTTCTGGAAAGATCACTTCAGTATCCTCAGTTGTATAAACCTTATAGGTAAGGCTTGAGAGGGAGTGACTTGCAGGACTTTGAACTCTACTTGGAGGAAATTGTGGCCAGAATGTGTACAAGACAGGGATTTTGAAGGGTTTGGGGCTGACCCTGAGGAGCTTGTGCCAGTTGTGGAATCTACTGTGTCTTTGGGGAAGTCCATGGGGTTGGAGGTTAGTGACGAGGATGTGGAAGAGTTAGTTGAGGACGACGATGAAGAGCTAACCACTACAGAGCTGCAAGAGCTTGAGGTGCAATAGCAACAGACCACAGCTCAGGAATTTCCTTCAGAGGAGGAGGAAGAGAGATGGAGAAAGTTCCCTTCATCAAAGATTATGGACATTTGTACAATGTGGACAAAGGTGCAAGCATTTATGGATGAACATTACCCTGACACAGCTGTTGCAGGCTGTATTGGCAACATGTACAATGACAATATTGTGTCCTATTTTAGGAAAATCTTAGAGAGACGCCAGAAACACAGCTCTCTGGACAGATTTTTGGTACGACAGGGGCCCAGTGACTCTCAAGCTGGTCCTAGTGGCATTAAAAAACAAAGAAAGGAGGCAGCCCCAGAAAAGGACTTGTTACCTAGTCTTTATGGAAGGGGATTCCCCTTTCAAACAATTATAAACTACTCCACCTTCTCCCCTCCTCTCAACTCATCACTCATCAATAAGTCCTCAATAAAGGTAAGTGTAATTTCAGTATTGTTTATTCAGCATGTCTCATTGTTTTCTGTTTAGGGAAATGCATATTTCATGTAAAAAAATTATTTTGTTTAATACTTTTGGGTGACTGGAACGGATTAATTGGATTTCCATTATTTCTTATAGGGAAAATTAATTTGGATAACAAAAATTCAGTTAAAGACAAGCTCTCTGGAACATATTTATGTCGTTGCCCTAGGGTCCACTGTAGATACAACCCGGATTTAGTGGGATATGGCCAGTTTTCTGTTGTGTGTTGAATTTATCCCATGGAGATACAACCTTGTTTTGGTGGGATATGACTGGTTTGGAGGGATATGTTGTGTATCTTTATATGTGTATGCTTCTAGACTGTTGTATTCTGAGCACCTCTGCAAAAACAGTGATAATGTGCGAGTGTGGTGAAAGTGTTGAATGATGATGAAAGTATTTTCATTTTGGGGATTTTCTTTCTTTTTTTGGGTCACCCTGCCTCGGTGGGAGACGGCCGACTTGTTGAAAAAAAAAAAAAAAAAAAATGACTGGTTTGTTTAAAGAAGAAAGTTGCATTTCATGTCTTTCAGCTGCACCTCAGAGATGAGACTCATTATGTGGGGGATGGCCACAACCTGTGAATAAGTGATCATAACTAAGTGTTGCCACACCTCAGAGCAGCAAGTTCATTCTGCCCAAGAAACCACTTTTAGTTGTACACCATTAAAAGTCATTGTTCATATTGTACAATGATTTTTTCCAATACAAGAGCATTCTTTTGATTAAAAATACACTGAAATAATCAAGATTTTATGTCAAATTTTTGTTTATAACTGTTGTATCTAGGTTAACTGGGTGCCTCTGCAAATGATGATGATGCTGATAGTATTTTTGTTTTGGGGATTTTCTTTCTTTTTGGGTCACCCTGTCTAGGCGGGAGACGGCTGGCTTGTTGGAAAAAAAACAAAACTTCAAGAATTATGTAGGGTTGTAATTTGGTCTCAATAATTACAGTATATGTTATGTAAAGATATGTAAAATGCTTGCCTAGTACAGTAAGCCAAAGTCTGAAAAATACAAATCATTCTGCATAGGTTACTTCTCAGAGCTGCTGAAGTTATAAAATATAATGTGTGTGGGGGGTATATCACATAACAAGTGGTATGGTAGTTGTGATAGTTACTGAGCACTCTAACTGCACATGTCACTCACACCTCCGTCATGCCTACACATATCATAATTATATAATTGTAAATAATTTGCCTGTCTGATGTCCAAGCCCCTCACACACAAAGCTTCCTTTACATTCTACCTCCAATCTTTCCTAGGGCAACCCCTACCCCGCCTTCCCTCCTCTACAGATTCATACAACCTCTAAGCCATCCTATTTTGTTCCATCCTCTCTAAATGTTCAAACCATCTCAACAACCCCTCCTCAGCCCTCTGCATAATACTTTTAGCAACTCTACATCTCCTAATCTCCAAGCTACAAATTCTCTACAAAATATTTACATTGATCTCAGACACAACATATCCACTGCCTCCAGCCTCCTCCTTACTGCATTAATATTATTGATGTAAAGTACTAAACCTTTAAGGGTCATACAGCACCTATGGCCAGGGAAAATTTTAAGGAAAGGATATAGAGGGGAAGGGAAAGCAGAGAGATAAAGACAGGTGTCTAGAAGAAGAAAATTGGTTTAAAACCCAGTGGTTATAGATGATGAAAAAAAGCAGTGTCAGTGGGGACTGCAAGTGTGTCTTTGGCTTAAGTGGGACTGTCAGACATGACCACACACACAATACAGTAAACCCTTGATATAATGGAATTCTAAAACAACAAAATCCAATAGGTACACTGCACTTTTAACTCATCTGGATCATTTTAACTGATATGGATCATTTTAACTGATTTTGCATCATTTTAACCCATCTTACACTATTTTCATCACTAGGATCATTTAACCCATAAGCAGTCCAAACGTATATGTACGTTCTTACTGCTAGTGCCCCAAATGTATATAAACTGTATTAAAAAAATCTGGGACCACATAGTACCTTGTGAGGGCACCAGTTCAAATGAGCGCCAGCTAGAGCAAACAGAGCGGCAAGCACCTGGGACTCACTGATTTCAAGTGGTATTAACTCTACCATTTTAATCCCTTGACTGTCGCAACCCCAAATCCTGAGGTGTCTCCTGGTGTCTCACACACACACACACACACACACACACACACACACACACACACACACACACACACACACACACACACACACACAAAGTATTATCTTATGAAACGATAGAGAATCTTTTCCTGATTGTAATGACACCAAAAGAATGAAATTTGATGGAGCACTGACAGAATTATGCTCCTGCGAAGTTAGCAACCTCGGCGATATTTACGAATCGGCGATTTTGCCCACTTTGAGCCCTATTTTAGGCTAATTCCATTGTTCCAGGCGACCACACTCATAGCTATTTCTTTAGAACTCCATTTTTTCTATCGATTGAGTACAAGAAACTGCCCATTTACCAATTTCAACTACCCAATAACATGGTCAGAAATTTGCAATTTGGCCAATTTCACGAAAATTAAAAAATATGACAATTTCAAAATA